TCTGGGGTCTGTGGTGCTCCTCCGCCTGCTCGTTGGCCTGCCGTTTTCCCTGACCCAGATCCTAGAACCAGGCTCAATTCCCCGCCCACACCCTTTCAATCATTTCAGCGGGTGAGGGGCGTGAGCAGCGGCTTGGTGTCCTGAAGCTTCTTAGCTAGTGAGCGGAGGCCTTTCCAGGGGTTGAAGAGGGGGCGTGATGTGTGGGTCAGGCGGGAACGGGCAAGCGTTTGGGTGGTAGGGAAGGAGAACTCAAGCTGCACTGAGAGAGAAGAGGATCCTTTGCCAAGTGGCCAGAAAGAATTCAAACCCAAAGCAAAGTTGGAGTCAAAAGGAAAGTTTATTGGAGAAGGGGTAGCAACTCAGAGGCAGAGAGAGAGAAGTAAGTCTCAGAGGGAAGAGGCAATAGAGATGACAAGAGAGACAGAGAAAGGCACTGAAAAGAAGCCCAGAGTGGTTGGGGGAATTCAGTTTATATATCATCTTTTGTTCCTCTGAGTTACAGTTTAAAGACTTTGTTTACCCATTTTCCTTTGGTATAGACACACAATGAGGAAGGATAAGAGTATGTAACCTGAATGGCTTGCTGGCAACTTCCAGCCTCTGATCCATAGGTTCCCAATGGTTTTAGCCATAGGAAATGAATGATTTTATTTTGGGTAAGGAGCTGCTTAAAGACTTTTTTCTGTTTTCCCTTCACTGTGTAGTGAAGTGGGTTGTTAGCAATCCCAGCAGAAATCTTTTCTTATTTTGCAGGTTTTCTGGTGTGGCTTCAGGGCTGATCAGCATATTGCGGTCTCTAAATGTAGCTTGACTTAATATTTTAGATTCCTTGCCTCCTCCCTACGTTACCGTACCCCGCCCCCACCACCAGGGCTGCAGTTTTCAAAAACTAGGTCTGTGGGGGGTTAAGCAACAGTACCTGGTACTGAGTAATCCGGGCGTTGGAAATCCATCTTTCAGGAGGGCTGCGCAGCATGGTTTCAACTGCATGTGGAGCCACAATCTCAATATTTTGGCCCAAGGTCAATTTTAAAGCTTCTTTGGTCAATATAGCAGTAGCAGCTAGTGCTCTCAGGCAACTAGGCCATCCTCCAGCCACCGGATCTAGTCTCTTTGACAGATATGCCACTGGTCGCTTCCAAGGTCCCAAAGTCTGCATGAGAACCCCTTTTGCAATCCCTTTTAGCTCAGTCACACATAG